GTTCGTCCTTGGGCCAAACAAATGATTTGTGAAAAATTTCATCTCGATCGGGCGACCTGTACTTTGTTTACAAAAATACATGGACAGACGGACGGACGGACATGCATAAATCGACTCAGAATATGATTCTATGCAGATCATCACAATTCAATTTTATCGACTTTTGTCGGTAACTCAAAAACTGAGTTAGAGAATTCCACTACAGATCAATTTTTGGTTTTTACTCTGTCTAAGTAACACTGTATATTTGCCTATACTCTACAAAAATTATAGGCTTATATTGTGATCCTCACCTTTATAGCATGTACAATTTCGTGACTTATTTAAACATAATAGCCTTCTCCCAGAGAGTAATATGTTTTCAATCGATTTTTATTTTATCATCTATAGCGAAAAGTTGTTAACACGTATTCAGTTCTTTTGAAGACTAGAACACTATTAAAGGATTTTCATATTAATGATGGTAGGACGTTTTCGTACCACCCTAACGTACATACTTGTATTGGAAAATGTTGAATGTTTCTGGCACACGCCATATACCAGATACGTAGGCATGATTTTGTTTCGAAGGGGTTTCAAGTTAAGAACGCAAAATATGTTGTGAAACGAGTTTACCTATAGTTTACACGAATTATCACACAGACGCGCTCTATACATTGTTTAAATCTATTACTTGATTTAATGCGTAACATTTGATTGTAACTCGAACTCTCTGTAAAATATAGCTGATAGAAAGTACTCAAATGTGTATTATTTTATGAAGGCAATAATGGTTACCCATTTGAGAAATCGACGATGATCTAAACCAAATACATTCTTCATTACCACTGAGTTCAAAAAAAATTTAAAATTTAAAGAGCTTGGCACAACGAAGGGAATACTTAACATAAGCAGAATGTTAAGAAAGGCAAGGAGAGAAGATCTAAGAAAATAAAAGGATGTGAGAATATTGTAGATTTTGCTAATGTACGGATATTGGACATAGAGAGAAGAGAAAGTAATCGATACACTATCGATATATCGATTCAATAGACATCAAAGAAGACAAGGATACCATTAAACACCAATACCTCGACCATATGGAGATAGGGGTATATATCATTTGATATGGCCAAAACGTGACCCATTGAAATAACGGTTTTAGACTCTAGGTCTCTTTGGACCAAATCCGTTTCAGCACATTTGAAGTCAATAAAGGGGTATTCGTCCATCTATCTGTCTGATCCACACTTGGTACATCGTAATATTATTATCAAACTTAGATCGAGTTCGGAGATTTGTACACACAAAATTTCAAAAATTTCACAGCCCACAAAGGGTTAGAATTTTTAATATTTACATCTCTCATAACTTGCGAAATAAGTCAGCGATTCTATACAAATTGGTATGTTAAAAAAGTATTTTTTCAATCAGAGATCTGATGTGAATATGGAATTTATCGGTCAACTCCTATTGGCACCTCCCCCACAACAGGTTACAATATTCATTAAAAATTATTATATATCTTGTATCTCCCATAAAGTGTCAACAGTTTGAATAATTATAACACAATTCAAAATATATTTTATTAAACTGACATAGGCTGAGGCACAACTGGAACTGGTACTTTTTAACTTAGTTTATTATAATTCTTAATTATACCCTATCCCACATAGTGGTTTGGTTTAATTGCGCACAAATGGCCAATATCAGTCCAAATGAATTTTGACACATCCGACCGAGTATTGAAAATAGCTTCAGATATAGCTATAGCTCCCATATATACGTTTTATGAAACCGGGCATAAGATAAGATCGTTTTAGGATTTTATATAGTTTTGATATACTTCTTCTTCATCCGATTTGACGGTTATTGCTCACCATATATGTAATACCAGCCTAAATTGAATAGAGTTTATTTTTCCTATTCAACCGAATTTTAACATTTAGTGGAAATCGGTCCAGTCGAGCAATATAAATATTTTTTAATATAATCCTTATCGAAGTCAATTTCGATTATTATTATTTTTTTTTGTTTAACAAAGTATGTAAACATCATCTTAAAATACGCACTACAATCATGTATTTACAAAAACATACATTTTTAAAACTAACTTAGTAAATTTGAGTTATACAACTTCACATCGAAACACACTCCACCCATCGACGTCCCTGTCACACATTCTTATATGTAAATCTGATATACAGATGGAAAATATATTTGACGGCGTCTATTAATTTGACACTAAATGCAAATTATAAATCCTCATTTTGAATGGGGAATGCTCATTTCCATTTTTCATTTCAATCTTCTCATCTTGTGTTCACTCGTGTCATATCATATCGCGTCACATTACGCTCAACAGCTTTCTTGTTTGACTTCTATGTTTAGTCAACATAGAATGCATAGATGCAGCGGATGACTGTATTGTGCGTGCAGTTGTATGAAACCTCATTTTGTCACCAGCACTAGACAAGTCCCCAAAGCAAGTGTCAGTGGAAAATTGTTTATCTTTGACAAGCTTATTAGCATACGAGTGTTGATGATACATCAGTACAAATTCGCTTTGTTTTAAACGCACATTCTATTGTATGTATGTATGTATGTTTATCATTATATTGTGAAAAAAATATTCGTTCGGCACAAAACTTCCCAGCAAGTCCAAATTTACATTAGGCGAGTTTAGTGGCGTGGGTAAGTCTCTGTTTGTACGAAAGAGGGATAAGAGGAAAGGAAATGACAAAAAACTGCTTGAACTGGCAGTTTTCTGCCAATTCCTTTTGTGTTTTTATTTTTATACCAAAATATAAATAACAATGACGGAAAAGGCAATGATGAAAAACAAAATTGTTTCAATCAAATTGCCGTGTACAAATGCTAGAGGCAAATTCTAAGGAGAACGATAAAAATTGCCACAAGTAAACTCATATAGTCTAAATCAGGTCTAACAATTTTCACGAATAACTTAAAAACAAAAATCGTTGCCACATTTTAGCAGCGTTACCTAATGTTCGACATACCGTATAGAAATATTCAACTTCCCCACCATGGTGAGATATTTTGTAACTCCGTATTACAAATGAAATACGTTGAAAAGGTTCAACTTTGAAATTTTGTGCACCCAACGCATTTGGGTAACATTAATATGAATATATGTGTTTTACATGTGTGGAGAAATACGTCGACAAAGTACATACGTCGAATTTTAGTTAACGATGTTAAACCGAATTTGGTATTTTGAACTCGCAAAGGGTAGAGTTTTTATAGGTTTTACAATTATTTTAAATCTAGCTGTTTTTCATACACTCAGCCATATGGCTAGAGAGGGTATATATCATTTGATTTCAGGACATTTGGAGTCGATCTAGCGATGTCCGTCCGTCGGTCTGTCTGTCTGGCTGGTGCGCACAATAACTCTCGAAGGGAGTATTCGATTTGGTCCAAACTTGGTACACCTAAATATTATTATCAAACTTAGATCGAGTTCGGAGATGGACAACAGCGTTCCACTCTTTCTCCTCCCCCACAAAAGTTCGAAATTTTCAAAAAAAAAATCCAATTTTGCTCCAACTTTGCAAAGCTTAATAGGTCAGGTGTAAAAATGGAGAATATTGGTCCACTCCATCAAGTACCTCCCCCACAAAAGGTCAAAATTTTGAATAATTATTAAACTTTCACAAAACGCGATGTAAGAGTCCGATTGCCTTCAGATTACATACATTACAAAAATTTTATTAACACAAGGTCTGGTGTAAAGATTGGATACATCGGTCCACTTCTTCTGGTACCTCCCCCACAAAGGGTCAAAATTTCGAATATTCATGCAGCTCATAAAAGGCGAAATTAACATTCGATTCTATTCAGATCTGATATATTTCAATATTTCTATCAACACAAGATCTAATGGTAGATATCGGACCATTCTTTCTGGTACCTCCCCAACAAAAGTCAAAATTTTCAATAACCAAACCGATCATATAGTCCGAAATAAGCATCCGGCTCTCTTCATACTTCACATATCCCATTATTTTTATACAAGATCTTCTGTGAAGATAGGATATATGGGTCCACTCCTTCTGGTACCTCCACCACAGGGGGTCAAATTTCTAAATATTCATGAAGCTCATAAAACGCGAAATTAACATTCGATGCCATTCAGACCTGGCACGTCTCAACATTTCTATCAACACAAGATCTGTTGTAAAGATGGTAGAGATCGGACCATTTCTCCTGGTACTTCCCTCACATAGGGTTGAAGATTTTGGAAACAAAACGCTCAAAGAAAGCGAAATAAGCTACCAATTCTCTTCAAATTTCACACATACAAACATTTTTGCTAACACAAGATCTATTGTGAAGATCATATATATCGGCGAACCCCTTTTGATACCTCACTCACAAAGAGTCACAATTTATCTGTCATAACTTGCGAAACAAATCAGTGAGTTTTTACAGCTTATATCTAAATGTTTCTCTCAACCAGAAATTTGAATGAATAAGGAATTTATGATTTCGCAAGAAATGGGATATAATTGTTCGATTTTCTTGTAATTTTGCCCATACCCATATTTTTATCTGTGTTAGGTGAAGTATGAAAAGGGAATACTTCGTTCGACCATATCTGGTACCATACGTACATTTTAACATTTTCTAAAAATTATCACATACCTCATATAATGTAAAGGAAGTAACCAGAATAATCCAAATCTGGCACGTCACAATTATTATATCATATTTATTTAGGTCCGAAACGGAATGGACCTACTACATAGCGATTCAACAATTTTGATAATCATAACAGAAGTCAAAATATATTTAAATAATCGAACATTGGCTGAGGCTATACATCTGTTGGAAAACCCGACTGATACTTTTTAACTTGTTACTATAAAAAGTCGACATAGTCGAATTTAACTCCTTCCTTAACTTTCCATGATTATTTAATTACTCTTTTATATAAAATACTTCATTTCCTTTGAATCTCATTCCGCTTTTATAACATTTATCTTCCCTTCTTCCAGAATTGCCCGAAATATTAATGGCTCCCCAAAATCAAACAATAAAAGTTGGCAAAAATTTCGTTCTTGAATGCGATGCTGATGGAAATCCAATACCGACCATATCGTGGCAATTCAATGGTGAGCCAATTACAGCAACAACAGAAAACGACCACCTGGTGTTGGAAAATGAAAATACGGAACTGATTGTGAATAAGGCCCAGGAATCGGATTCAGGTAATAATAACACAATTATTCTTCAAATAAAAATAAATATTTTTTGTACATTCCCATTAAGATTTATATAGTAAATTCGTTTCGAAGAATAAGATAGTGTTTTTGCTTTCGCAGAGTAATGAGCAAATGAATAAAGGCAACATTTAGTAAACTCTAGCAACGAAGCCACGTGAATAAGCAGCTCAATAAATATACAACTGTTAGCAGCTTTTTCTGCCAGCAAATCCAACGTGAAAATGAGGCTAACCATTTCATACTAGCGACTATTGAGTTATCCCACATAACATTTATTCTTTTATATACCCTCCACCATACATAATATGGAGGGTATATTAAGTTCGTCATTCCGTTTGTAGCCCATTAAAATAAAAATTCTAGACCTAACAAGGTATACAGGGTGAGATAAGTCAAACGCCATAATTTTTACATTTTTTTTTTTAAATTTCATTGAATGAAAGCAAAAAATGTCGGAAATTGCCTCAAATTTTAGAATAAGTTTAGATTTGTTCGAATTGATCACCCTTGACACGAATTATGGCCTTTAGACGCTTGAGGTAATCGACACTTTGGTATTTTTTAAGTGCCAACGTTGATTTCCAAATTAGTCCAGACACAATAGTCCAACGGATTGGTATCCGGAGATTTTGGTGGCCATTGTGCGCTGGAAATGAAGCAAAGAACCTTATTTTGTAACCATTGTTGGATGGCGCGTGCTGAGTGCGATGATGCTGAGTCCTGTTGGAATGTCCAAGGTCTGCGGCCAAAATGTTGGCGTGCCCAAGACTTTAATACATCCTCCACAATATTTTCGCGGTCTCGGAGAGCGACAATTGGCCAACACGATCACCATGGCCGGCGCTTGAGTTCTGGTGGCCAATCGAAGGTGCACATTTTCAGCTGACCTCTTGTGCAAGTAAACTTGATCATTTTGTTTGCTGGACAACGAATTTTCTCATCGGAAAAAACCAAATTCGGCAGTTCACCACTTTCGGCCAAGCTAAGCAACTCCTTAGCTCTTTTGAGTCTATTTGCTTCCTGTTGCGGTGTAAGTTCTTCAATGGCTTTACCCCGAGCTCATTTTTAAATATTTGCCGAATGGAATATTGCGATATGTTCAGCTCACGAGCCATTTTTCGGCCACTGCGACGCTGGTTTCGATTAAGTCGCTTCTTTACTCTTCGAACCATTTTTGCTGATGTTTCTGTTTTCTTCCGTCCACTTCCTTGACGTCGGGCTACGCTACCAGTATTACGGTAACGAGCGATGGTACGATACACAAACGATTGATTCACAATTAAATGCAGGAGTGATCTGACGATAGCCACTTGTTGTTTTCCAGCCAAATATAAGGAAATCACGCTTGAATTTCATCACGAATAACTTTTTTCTGGAAAATTCTCAGCAAGATGCTTTTGTACGCTTGTAAACAATATAATGAGCTGTCACTGGAATAATTTTAACAGCAGTCTGAAGTTGGTTAACGTTTTTTCATCTCAGCCTGTATATATCCACGATGTCGTATAACCGCCATACATGGGTTCCCCCGATATTCGGTATTTTGATAATTTTGGACATTATTCATCGGTTTTGTTTCAAAGTTTGTATTTGAAGTTCGTAAGCTGCAGTACCCATACAGCTTATGAGAAAAAATTGACAATGCAGTTCCAGGTCTTCATATAGCCCCCATACAACTATACCTCCCTATATTCCGTGTTTTGATAATTTTATCGACATTATTCACCGGAATTGTTTCAAATTTCGTATTTGTATATTGTAGTGACCTATGTCAAAAGTTGTCTATGCAGGTCCTCGTCTTCCTATAGAACCCAATGTAACGGCGGCTTCCTATATTCGGTATTTTTGAACGGATCTAATTTTTTGGAAAATTGACAATGCGGCAAAAATTGCAATCGCTTTCGCACCAATCTCGACCTTTCTATCCAGAAAATGTATCCCTTCTATATAACAGCTAGTCCAATCTGAATCCCATGCTAACTTGTTACATTAAATAATACATTATTTGGTAATTGTACTTTTCATGTAAACGCAAAAAAAAGGAGGAAAAAACATTACAATGAAAGCAATCAGTTGACTCATATGGGAATAACAAATAAATAAATATTTATTAAAATAATGGAAGGATAAGAAAAAAACATGAAACAATTACTTAAATGTAAAACTATGGCTGTTTACACTGTGCGGCAAAATGGAACTCAACTTCGAGTTGGCGGCCATAACAGTTTTTGTTAAGTAGTTTTTATTAAGTCGTAAGTTTAAATTAAAAAATGTTTCTTTCTTAAACGGAATTAAAAAAAATAAAAAACACATAAAAAAATTTGTAAAATTGTTATTAAATATGCTACGTTGACAAATAAGGTAACGTTAAATGTTTTTTATTTCTTCATTGAACTAATTATTCAAACGGCATTGGCATGTGTAGCATACGTATTTTAAACTCATAGGATATATTCGATGGACATTAAAAACAAGTAACAAAGCTTTATGTTCCTCAGGATCAAACTTTGAATACCCCACACCTTTTAGAAGGAATTTGCTGCTTTGTTGAAAAATACTGATAAAATCATAAATACCGATATATGAAAACGTAGATTTGCATAGGAAATTTTCTGTTACAGACTGCAGTTCCCATTATGAACTTACAATAGAGATTTTTATTAATATCGTTATTATGGAGTGCATATTATGGCTGCGGAAGACAAAAATAACAAATCGGTTGAACAATATATATGGGAGCTATAGCAATATTTGAACCGATTTCGATCAAATTTCGCATACTTATTTTCAGGCCTAATTTAGTATGTAAGTGCAAAATTCCATATCATTTGGGCTGATATTACACGTTTTGTGCACAAAGAAGCAAATCGGACGAAGATATATATGGGAGTTATATAGGATGAGATAAAAAAATTGCAACAAAGTCAGACGCCATTATTATTAATTTTTTTTTTTAATTTTATTGAATGAAAGCAAAAAATGTCGAAAATAGCATCAAATTTTAGAATAAGTTTACATTTGTTCGAATTTGTATTTTGGCCCAACCCCGGCAAAGCGCTTACTTGAGGCGATCGACACTTTGGTATTCTTAGTGCCAACCTTGCTTTCCAAAAAACTCCAGACATAAAAGTCGTACGGATTGGTATCCGGAGATTTTGTTGACCATTGTGCGCTGGAAATGAAGCGAGGAACCTCATTTTGCGATGGTGCTGAGTCCTGTTGGAATGTCCAAGGTCTGCGACTAAAATGTTTGCATGCCCAAGGCATGCACTCTCCAGAATATTTTCGCCATATTATTTGGCAGTTATTCGATTAATACGAGCGGAGAGCACCATCGGCTTTTATGGCGGCCCATAACATCACTATGGCCGGCGCCAACTGAACGTGAACATTTTCAGCTGACCTCTTTGGCAAGTAAACACGATCATTTTGTTTGTTTACAAACTGCTGGACAACGAATGTTTTCTCATCGGAGAAAACCAGATTCGGCAGTTTGTTGTTTTTTGAATAAAAAAATTATGTAGCATTTCACAAGCTTCTAAACATTCGCGAGGCCTCGGTCAAAATTATATGTTTACCTCATAACAATTTGCTTTTGGGGGTCTTAATAAGTTCGCCCCCAGTGAAAATATTCCACTCCTTAACTTTCTGTTGACAAGTGTTAATTTTGATTTTTTAAATTTCGGTTTTCATTTCTTGTTTGTTTTTCATAGGCGTCTATACCTGTGTAGCAGAAAACGATAATGGGCGCACAAAGATATCGGCGACAGTTACCGTGGAACGGGTAAACAGTGCTCCACGGCTGCTTATTAAACCATACGACCTGGATGCATTGAGTGGAACCAGCATTGAATTGCCTTGCAAAACAGAGGATTCAGATGGCATACAGGTGAGTTCGGCAGATGATGAAAATGAATGAGATTTTTGTTGTATTTTTATGCTTGTTTGAGTTGACAATTTTAATCGAACGGGAGAAGGTGGATGTCTGCTTCAGCAAGCCAGCCAGCCAGTCATACCTTTGAAAACCAACCCCACTACAAATCCACCAAACAAATGTCCAGTGGGGGCTTCTGATTTTTTTTTTTTCTGATATTGATTTTTATGTTGATTTTTCTTGTTTGCAGATTACTTGGCGCAGAGATGGGCGTATTATTGACCCGAATGTTTTGTTAACGAACAAATACGAAATCAGTGGAACGGGTAGTTTGTTTGTTCGCAACGTTACAATATTCGATGGCGGGCGATATGAATGTTCGGTGAAGAATGAATATGGCCGATCGACGGCATCTGCCTTTGTGACAATAAGGTAAGTTGAAGAAGATAGTGTGCAAACAAACAGGACAAGTCTGGTATGAAGGAAAGAGGAGAATAGTGCCAGGAGATGAGGCAAGTTATACTAGACAAATGGTTGTGACGAAAAACACGAAAAGCAGACGTTTGTATGCATGTTTATTTTTCAGTTAATTTACCATGCGACTCCATTTGTTGTGTTGCACTTTTTGCTCCTTGTTAAAAGGAAATTGAAAATTTCAATTTCAAAGAGGAATTACAAATACTGAAGTTGACGAAATCGACATTTCTCATTCCAATCTCGTGTATGGGTTGCAGAACATGTTTTTTCTGGTCAATGAAAAAAAATAATAAAAGGAATTCGGAAAGAAAAGAATGTGTAGCGAAATGTTAGGATTCGATTAATTATAAAACCCTGCGGGGCACTTTTTTGTAAACAATTTCTCATCGGTACAACAATGTGGGTTAATAATGTAAATTTTAAAGACGAAGTTATGACTATATGAAGAGAGATGATTTCCACAAACATATCTATAATTATACCCTACAAAACTATGTGTAGGGGGTATTATAAGTTTGATTGGGCCAAAAATTATGTAACACCTTGAAATATTAGTTTCCCACATAGGAAAGTATATATGGATCTTCCTATCACGCCGAGCTAAGTCAATCTAGCTATGTATGTCCGTCCGTCCGTCTATGTTAATTTGTAAAAATCGCAATTATGGCCCGATCTTCACGAAATTTAGAATGGAGGTTGGGCTAGGGCCAGAATAGAAGCCTATTGCTTTTGGAGATGATCGCATAATATTTAGGTTAAAATGGACCAAATACTGAAAACTTTCCTGATTTTGCAGTTGCTCTACAGGTCGCGATTATAGACCAATCGACACAGAAGTTGGCATTTTTGTGTGAAAAAATACCTAGATTTCCATTCTACCGAAACGCTGAAAATAACTAACAGGCGAAATCCAAAACACGCAAATGGCAAACCTCTGGCTTTTTATGCTGATTACGTTGACGAATATAGCCAAATATCGTAGGCAAGCAAATCATATAGATGAGTCTAAATTTGGTGATACAGAGGGGCCTCTTGCTTTGGGAGGTGATTGCAAAATAATGAACCAAAAACAGAAAAAATTTCCTGATCACAAAATTGGAGCCAATCGACACACCTGTGAAGAGAGTTAAGGACAGGGAAGAATTTTAGCATTTTGAATGACCACTGGATTATATTTAGCTGTAAAATGGACCACAACAACTAACAGCAAATGTCCCTGGTCAAAATGCTAAGGGTAATGTCTCGGCAGTGCTTCGTGACATCATTTCAAAAGCGAAATCTTCCAAAATGGATTTGAACATAAAGGGGCTTCTAACATATTGTAGTGTTGTAGGGTATCACATGGTCGGCCCCGCACGACTTTAGCCATGGCTTACTTGTTTTTTTAAATAACTATTACAAAATATAATAGCTATAGCAAATTGGGTGCTAAATCTACGTTTGCAGAAAGTTTTAATGTGATTTTCGATGAAACACCTATATGGAACATCGCAACAGATCTTCCGGAGATATAACTCCACCTTGGGGAACCCTACGGGCTTTGGACTTCTTATTTCGGAATTCCACGTACGACTGGCGTCCACACATATAGTTGATAATTCAACGTTTCAAACTTGGTCGGAGGGTAGTTCTTTTCACATCATCAAACAGTGCGGCATGATTGACCGTGTCAAATGCCTTTGATATGTCAAGGTCTGCCAACACTGTTCTATGACGCGATTCAGTCTCTACTAATGTGTGGAAATGGCATGGACGGAATTCGTGTTGATGGTTTGCAACTGGATAGCTTCCTCTAATGCTGTGGAGGAGTAAATAATCGAGGGTCTTTGCTACTGGGGACAAAAGCGAAATTGGCCTGTACGATTGGCCATCGCTGGCATCCCCGGCCGAACTTTCTACATTTTTACTTGTTTGTATTTAAAAATTGTTGGGAATGCCTTAAAGTATGCTATCAAACCAAAAAGAGGAAAATGTTTGTACGTTTGATTGTTTGTTTGTAATTTATGGACTCAAACCCGCTAAACAGATTTTCAACATAATTTTATTTGTCAACGTATTCTTTTTTAATTTCCCAACCTTTTCCAATCGTTGGAGGGTATTCAATGTTCGGCCCGACCGAACTTTCTACTTTTTTACTTGTTTGTATTTAAAAATTGTTTGGAGCGCCTAAACGTATGGTATCAAACTAAAATGAGGAAAATGTTTGTACGTTTGATTGTTTCCTTGTAATTTATGGACTCAAAACGCGCTAAACAGATTTTTCTTCAAATATCCAAATATACTAGAGCATTGCCTGATAGTAAAAAAGCCTATATAAATAGAAATATATCTGATGCTATATCTCTATATATAGCCTATCGGAGGTTTATCGAAAAAAAATGAATTATAATTAAAATTGTCTATTGGAATGTGTAAAAGCCAGTTTCCACATCGTGTTAGAGTCATATATAAAATAGTTTTCTTCAACGATTTATAAAGTTAAACTAGAAGCTATTCTTTATAAAATGAGGTTCGGGCAGCGTGTGATGGTTTCATTGGCCGTTTGAAGGCCATAATTCGTGCCAAAGGTGACAATGCTATTTCCGAAAATTTAAAAAAAATAAAATTATGGGGTTTGACTTTGTTGCAGTTTTTTATCTCACCCTGTATACTATAAAGCACTTCTTTTCAGATAACAAGCTGTGTGAAGCCCCTTTAACATTAATTTAGAAAATTTTAACATTAATTTAGAAAAAGTAGCTTGTCATAGGCATGTACCATTATGTGCCTTAACGGAATTCGCCAAATTATATATCGGTTCAGATTTGGATAAAGGTCCCATATATATTTTCACCAGATTTCATGTATTTGTATTTGCACCAAACACAATATGTATCTCAATTTTCAATAAAATTTGGAATTTGCGACAAAATTTTCGTCTAGAAATAAATGTTTTAAAATTATATTAAAATCGGTTCATATTTCGGTATAGCTCCCATATATATTTCCGCCCCATTTCATGTATTTGATACACCAAACATGATATGTATCTCTAATTTCAATGAAATTTGGAATGTGTGACGAATTTTCGGTCAGAAAATAAATTTGTCAAATTATGTTGAAATCGTGTCGGATTCGGATATAACTCCTATATATATATATATATCGGCCAATTTCGTGTATTTGGTACACCAAACACGATATGTATCTCCAATTTCAATGAAATTAGGGAAGTCTGGAAATGGATTTGCCAAATTCGGTATAGTTCCCATAAATACTACTTTTGTCCAAACACTCAACACCTGTAAAATGGTGAAGGATTTGGACTGGATCTGGTCCGCCAAATCTGTATCTACAAAATAGAAAAACTTGTTTACAATGGTTACCATTATTACGGAGAAGTATATGTGTTCATATGTATTGCTATCTCGAATCCCTCTAATAGCAACAGAAAGTCCGCTCAACGAGACATTTACAAGGAAAAAACTCTTATTTGGCATGATCCTGCTGTAGTGGCATGTTCACGTGTTGGTTGACCGAGCGATTAGCTTGTTTAATACTTTTACTTTTATGCTATTAAAAATCCGAATACCAAGATGAAGAATTCAGCTTAGCTTTAAGGCTAAATTTAGCTGCAAGTGCTAAAATAAATTTTTATTTGAGAGCTTTATGTATTTAGTTCATAAATATCCTAAAATCAGTTGAAAATATATCTGGACCTATTATCATTTATTTCAGTATCGTTCACACTGGAGTCAAACAAACAGTCTTTGCATAACTTAGTCTTAAATAGAAAATAAATGCGTTTCTAACCAGATGTATGGCGTAGGGTATACAAAATACGTACAATGATAATCATACTCGCAATATTACTTGGTGTCCATTTTCAGGAAACTTAATCTTATGACTATAATAAAGTTTTCAAGTAATTTGAAAATTGTTAAGCAAAAACTTAAACCATGGAATATTGAAATGTGACTACCGCCTGTCTTCATACATTTTTCTTTATGAAACACACCTTAAACATTTCCCTGTTGCTATGATATTTGATACTGGAGGGCGAGGAATTCCGAAAGGTAGAGGTTAAACAGTTCCGGAGATATCACTCCACCTTGGGGAACCCTACGGGCTTTGAACTTCTTAGTCCGGAATTCCACGTACGACTGGCGTCCACACATATAGTTGATAATTCAACGTTTCAAACTTGATCGGAGAGTAGTTCTTTTTACATCTTCAAACAGTACGACATGATTGACCAAGTCAAATGCCATTGATATGTCTAGGTCTGCCAACACTGTTCTATGACACGATTCAATCTCTACTAATATGTGTGGAAATGGCATGGACGGAATTCGTGTTGATGGTTTGCAACTGGATAGCTTCCTCTAATGCTGTGGAGGAGTAAATAATCGAGGGTCTTTGCTACTGGGGACAAAAGCGAAATTGGCCTGTACGATTGGCCATCGCTGGCATCTTTCTACTTTTTTACTTGTTTTTATTTAAAAATTGTTGGGAACGCCTTAAAGTATGCTATCAGACCAAAAAGAGGAAAATGTTTGTACGTTTGATTGTTTGTTTGTAATTTATAGACTCAAAATCGCTAAACAGATTTTCAACATAATTTTATTTGTCAACGTATTTTTTTTTAAATTTCCCAACCTCTTCCAATCGTTGGAGGGTATTCAATGTTCGGCCCGACCGAACTTTCTACTTTTTTACTTGTTTGTATTTAAAAATTGTTTGGAGCGCCTAAAAGTATGCTATCAAACTAAAAAGAGGAAAATGTTTGTACGTTTGATTGTTTCCTTGTAATTTATGGACTCAAAACCCGCTAAACAGATTTTTCTTCAAATATCCAAATATACCACAGCATTGCCTGATAGTAAAATAGCCTATATAAATAGAAATATATCTGATGCTATATCTCTATATATAGCCTATCGGAGGTATATCGAAAAAAATGAATTATAATTAAA